AGACTTTGAAAATCCCTAACCGCTTTAGAAAACCCTAAGCTAAGAACCAGATACCACATTCAGCATGCTTGCCCTGGCTGGCCAGATGGTAATCCTTCAGGAAGCGGGGTGGGCTTTGCTGGGGAAATGTATTTCTATATATTAAGGATATATCCAAATTCCAGAAACTCAGTGTAGAAAGACAGGACAGGATCAGATAAAAGACCAGAGTTGGGGGGGGGGGGGGTGAGGAGCCTTCCTGATGTCACTAAGCTACAAATCATGAGCTGCTTCAGGGCTGCACTGAAAACCAGCCCAGACAAAGCTCCAAAACTCTGTACCCAGAAAAACATTCTGGGCAACAGGTTTTAACCACAAGACCCAGACAGGAGCACTGTGTAGTTTCCTCAACCAACTCTCTCTCTATTCTATGCCCAGGGCTGCAGAGAGGGAGCCACCCATGTCTTGGGTCACCTCCAGTGGATTCTCAGCTCTCTGTTGGCTTCTGGGGCACAAAGGAGCATATTTTATGGGGGAAAATCTTCAGGCTGGGCCTGCAGGCCTGCAGAGCACTGTTATTCTTTTTCTTGGCTTAAGGAGACAATGGCCCATCTCATGATTGTCATTAGACTCAGCAAAACCCAGGTCCCCTCCCAATCTTGCTGAATGCTTGAAGGGATGACGAATGCAATGTCATTATGTTTGTGTCCGAACCACATTTATTTGATCCAACTTCTGTTGATTATTGAGTGGTGGTGCTGAGCCAGCTGGAGCTGAGCTAAGGCCTGGGATGCCTTGCCACTGAGGTCTGTTCAGTGCTCTCTCTCTCTCTCTCTCTCTCTCTCTCTCTCTCTCTCTCTCTCTCATCTACTCCTCTCACCACATCAGCCTCCTGTGTCCCTGGTCCCTGGCTTTTAGTCTGAGTGATGCTTTTCTGTGGTCTCTGCCTTAGTTTGGGGACTCAGTATTTGCACAAGCTGGATGCCTATACCTTTCTGTTATTTTATTTTTTAAAATATTTTTTATGGTTTATTTAACTTTTTTATTTTATGTGCATTGGTGTGAAGGTGTCAGATCCCCTGCAACTGGATCTTCAGACAGTTGTGAGCTGTCATGTGGGTGCTGGGAATTGAACCCAGGTCCTCTGGAAGAGCAGTCAGTGCTCTTAACCACTGAGCCATCCCTCCAGCCCCCTTTCTATTATTTTAATCTTATGTGTGTGGATGTTTTGTCAGCATGTGTCTGTTCATCATGCACATGACCAGTATCTGCAGAAGCCAGAAAAGGGCATCAGTTTTTCCTGCAACTGGAGTTATAGATGGTTGTGAGCTGCCGTGTAGATGCTGGGAATCAAACCTGAGACATTTGAAAGAGCAGACAGTGCTCTTAACTGCTGAGCCATCTCTGCAGCCCCCTAATTTTAATTGTGTGCATCCATTGCATAAAAAAGAGGTTAGATCATATTTTGGTCATGCCTCCATTAATCTGTTTTGTGCCCTCTTTCCCCTCACTGGTCTCTTTCCTTTTTCTGTAGTTCCCCCTTATACTTTTATGTCCTTTCATAAAATCTAGATTCCAAATACTAGAGAAAATGTATGATATTTGTGTGACCCTGTCTTGTTTAATATGATGATCCAGCCATTTTCCTGCTAGTGATATGTTTTGTTTCTTTAAAAACATTTTAAAGATTTATTTATTTTTCTGTGTTTTCCCTCCATGAACATGTGTGCACCACATGTGTGCCTGGTGCCCACATAAATCAGAAGATGGTGTTGGAGTCCCTGGAACTAAAATTATGGATGGTTGTAAGCTGCCGTGTGCATGCTGGGAACCAAACATGGGTCCTCTGCAAAAGAAGAAAGTGCTCTTAACTACTAAGTCATCTCCCGACTCCCATGATTTTGTTCTTATGTTAGATAAAGCTCTGTGGATCATGAATTATTTTATGTCACCTTCATAGATCTGTATGATGGGCATTATTCTCCATTAGCAGATGGCAAAATCAAGAAAAGTTCAGAGACTGCCTGAGGCTCCCATGAACACCAGAGGCAGAGTAGGAAGAGAATCCAGGTCTTCCAATTTCCAAACTATGGCCCTGACACTCTCTGGTATATCTCTAACGGCAAAACTTAGACATAAAGACAAGGAAGATGTCTGAGGTCAGAAGGATCCTGAATAATGTTTGTGGGAGTGGTTTGCAAGGATAATGTTTAATACAAACACACACAGAGATCCAACTATATCAACAACACAAGAACTGCCATTTCCTGTGCTCTGAGTCAGACCATGCAATCTCTCTTTGTGACGGTTCATGTTGAGTGTCAACTTGACTGGATTTGGGATCACTACGAAAACATACCTCTGGATGTAACTGAGAAGACCCACCCAGAATGTGGACGGCACTATTACATGGGTTGGGATCCTCGACCAAGTTAAAAAGAGAATGCTAACCTAGCACCAATATTCATTCTCTCTGTTTCCTGACAACAAACACAGTATGACCCCCCTGCCTTACATCTTGCTACCATGCCTGGCCTGCCACGGTGGAATGCACCCCCAACTGTGAGCCCAAATGAACCCTTCCCCGCTTAAGGTGCTTCTTCCAGGTAACTAATACAATCACCTGTCAGTGCAAAGAATTAGTCACCCGCCTGTTCAGGTGGGGTGTGATGTGGGGTAAATGACAATATTTCCTTCCCAGCAGATCTAATTAGTCCTGGGGGCTCATCTCCCATCTAAACCAGAACAGTGGGTCTGTCCCCTCTGACCACGCTTCATTTGCAGTCAGACATCTCCCTGGAGGCCATGGCTAGATACCTCTATTTGGGCTTAAAGTCTCAGAAGTTCTATTCTTCCTGAATGGAAGTCTTGGGTGTTGAGCTGGTTCAGAGGAGAGGGGTCTGTTCCTCAAGACACTCCCTTGCACTCCTGGCCAAGTTAACCATCCCTTTATTAGCCTCAATAGTGTCTCCTCTAGAAGGGCTCTCACTGGGCAAATTGAGAGTCATTGCCTGACCCCCACAGCCATCTCAAACCCAGAGTATACCATTATTGGCATTACTAGTATTGAAGGGTAATCTTGGGGCTTCTCCTGTGACCCCATTTGATGGCTGGTAATGTGGGCAAAGGTCAGCTCTGTGACATCCACCCCTGTAGTAGGTGTGTGTAGTAGGTGGGTGTAAGTTTGAATTTCTGTCTGTGAGAGACTTGGCATCTTGTCTGTATCACCCCGGTCTGGCTTCTGGGGTCTGGTTGGATTGTCAGTGGGTGCCAGTGCTGTAAGATAGTGCTTTTGTACACTGTAAAGATTTGTCACTCATATTTGTTTAATAAAACACTGATTAGCCAGTAGCAAGGCAAGAAGTAATGGCGGGGCAACCAGACTAGAAGAATTCTGGGAAGAGGAAAGGCAGAGATACAGTCACCAGCCAGACGCAGAGGAAGATGAGAATGCCTTACTGAGAAAAGATACCAAGCCACATGGCAAAACACAGACAAGAACTATGGGTAAATTTAAGTCATAAGAGCTAGTTTGTAATAAGTCTGAGAAATAGGCCAACCAGTTTATTATTAATATAAGCCTGCTTGTTTATTTGGGACTGAATCACTGTAAGACTGGTTGGGACAGAAACTTCTACGTGCCAGGCCTGTTTAGCTATTGCTCCTGAGCTGACCTTCTTTGCCTTCACTGAGCACAGATGGGAGGCTGCTCTTCCACATCACAGGCTAATGGGGGACTAATCAAGGGGTCCCCAGAGAGTTACAGTGACCACTACCTATGAACTGGCCTGGCAGATACCAGCAAGTGTGGCCACACCCTGGGGGCAGGTGTGAGAGCAAATGGACAGATAAGAAGGGGCCTCCTTGCCAATTCCTGTGACCCAGCTGACCCTCAGCAGTTGAGAGGTTGTCTGTCTCCTTGCTCTAGATAGGTCTGGGGAGGGTCACAGGAAGCAATTCTAGCTGGACCGTGGGCTTTATCCAAAACTGGACACATTGAAAGCAAGCTACCACAGGCTGATGCTTTGGGACAATCTGGTGTCAATCTGGCCATTCCCTTGAGGGAGGAAGACACAGCTACCCATCTGGAGGGGTTTGGAGCTGCCCCACCCATCTCAGTTTCTAGACTCCTGCACTTGTTTATCCCATTGCTACACGCCCATCTCAGCCTCTCCTGCGCATGCTCATTCCATCTCTGCCACCTCACCAGCGATAATGGCACCCAGTAACCCAGGGCGAAAAGAACCCTGGGCTTCCCTCATCTGCATTTCCTCACTGTAACAGTCTAAGAAAGGCCCAGAAGCCAGAACCCAATTGCCACAGCAGGAGACTCCCACACCAGGAAAGCGCTGAGAGCACAGGATTGGTTGACATTCCAGCCAGTCACGTTATGCGTCTGCCTCCTCCATGCCCATCCTCACAGACCCTTGCTTCTAGGTTTTCTTGGAGGCTGTCTGCTGCTACCAGGAAAAATGCTGCCTGGGCCAAATGACATCAAGAGGTCCCCAGACACCAGGCTCAAAGGAACCTTCAGGAGCAACAGAGGGATTGGGACAAGGGTGGACCTAACCTGATAGCCTTCCCCTACAGGAGTAAGGACCTGTTTCTCATTCCTCCCACGTCTGAGCACAGGACCAGCCAACTGTGGGTGACCAGTCACTGTGGTGGAACGACATCCTCTCAGGCAGAAGGCTTGAGTCACTGGAAACCCCTGATCAGTTCTGTATCAGTCTCCAGACAGGTGTGTGTGTGTGTGTGTGCGTGTGTGTGCGTGTGTGTGTGTGTGTGTGTGTATGTGTGTGTGTGCGCACGCGCGAGCGCTAGGCTTCTCCAGGCCTCCACAGAGGGACAGAGATCCATTCACCCCAGCAAATCTGAAACCCAGGCTGAAAGAAAAGAGACGAGGTCCTCTTACAGGGGACTGACTGGGGTTCCTCTGGGTCCCTCCATCAACAGCTACATGAAACATGTCCTGGTCATGGCTCAGGAAGAAAACACACACCACTGAGAGACAGTCTGTTTGTGCTTTTGACACATTATCGGTTTTTATTTAAAAACATGCTAAAAACATGGTGTTCATTAAAGCAGGACCTGGGATGGAGGAAATGCAGACAAGGCATTGCAAGCAGAAAGTGCATTTGAAACCAACCAGCGTGCACTCCCGGCTCTCTGGCCACCCAGGGACAGCGAGGCAAGTGGAGGCCCAAAGGCCTGACTCCTCAGGATGCCCACTGAGGGAGGAAGAGGCCAGGACACCGCCATCACGGAGGAGGGAAGGGAAATGAGAGAACAGGAACATGAGAGGGGTCACCAGACCAAAGGGCTGAGGGGCAAAGGAGAGACCCCCAGCCCCTGGCACCCAGCTCCCCGTCCTGTGCCATGTCCCTGCTGATTAGCACCTCCACCGGTGGGTGGGCAGGGAGCCAGAGAGGAGGGGACCACAATTCCATCCACTTGAAGAGCCACTTCATGGAGGCCTGGCCACTCATTTCTAAGTCAGGCCAGAATGTGCAAGGGGAGAGCCGAGGCACTGGCCCAGGCTGGCGGGGGTGGGGGTGGGGGGTACGATGACATTGTTCCAGCTCAGAGAGTACAGCCGCACAGGAGCCGTGCACCCTGACACCCGACAGTCACCTGAGAGCAGTTTCCAGACCCTGCCCACTGAGCCCCTCTACCAGTGGGCATTGGAGAAATGCCACAGCTACGTCAAGTCAAGCGCTTCTGGGAAGTCACCTACAAACGGAGAGGACTTTCTGAGGCAGGTCTGCAGATTCCTGGAGTGGGGCCTCGAGGAAACTGCTCAAGGAAGCACGGGTGAGGAGGCTCTCATGGCGGGTTTGCCCCCAGTGAGCTCACAGCCAAGAGGATCAGAGAAGAGCTGAGCCACCTCCCCTGGCCTCACTTGCTGTGGCCATTTAGTGTATGGGGGCCATTCCCCGAGACAAGCAAGGGGTTCAGAACACCCACCCTGTGAGCATGGAGCCTCATGTAGATACACACAGCTAACACAAGAAGGCGGTTTGGGACGTGTGATCTGGCTCTGCTGGACAGACAATTGAGGTGAGCTGGTGAGGGTAGGGGACGTTGGCTGCAGCTCTGGGGAGCAGCATCACCCTGAAGCACTCTAGAGACATGAGGTGGCAGGGAGGCCAAATGCTTTCCGGTGTACTGGGAGATGTACTGTTGATGATAACGGGAGTAAGAAATCCCATTTATAGGTATAAACAAACCCACCACTCCACCCACACTAACTCATTATGTAGCAGGTACCACTTTTTTTTCCTGGTTGTTTAATGGGTCTACCTGAGCTCTGTATTTTGGGGTTCCCAGGGAGGTGTCTGTCATTCCCCTAACAACACAATTTCATCTCCTGGAACCGGCGGCCCCTCTGTCCAATTTGCTTAGAGCTCCCTACTATCCTCTCACCCCCAAAACTTCAATCTTGAACACACTGAAAGTTCCACATCCCTGGTCCTGCCTTGCCTGTTATTCAAGGTAGTCAGAGGGGTTATAGGTTGGCTGAGCGGTCTGGCTAAGTGGTGGAAGACCTGGCTCGGTGGGAAACAGTGGTAAGGAGTCAAATGGCTTGAGAAAAGCAGCTGCCACATGACACCTGGAGAGTGGACTCTGGATTCCAGATGGCTGTCGGGCCAGTCCCCCAGTCTTGCCTTTACTGTGTTCACAGAAGGGGACACTGGGCATCAGTGCTGGCAGGGCTGCTGGGAGTACACCCTGCCTCCATCTCCTATGCCCAGCAAGGGGCATCCAGATCGAGGGCCTTCTCCCCGGGCCTGCTGTGGCAATGTGAGCCTGACTTCTAAGATTTTCTTTATCTTGTCTCCTTGAGGTTACATGGGATGTGATGCCTGCCACCCAGTGGAGACAGCCATGGATCCTAATGAGGGAGGGTCCTGAGACCCCTGTGGCCCTACCCCTCAGCAGGGCAGTCAGCAACTGAGTGAGTCTGGTGGGGCTGGCCAGAGATGCCAACTCTTCCTCTCCTCCTGACAGTCCTGAGACTCTGTTTCAGTCTGGGCAGCTGGACATGTCTGCTTCCACTGTTCAGAACAGGGTGCGCAGAGTGCGGTCTGAACCAAAGGACTCGATAGCAGGAATGTGTGAGAGTGACCATCTGGGATGCAGGATGTGTGGGGTCAGGAGGGACATCAGCAGAGGACTGAGGGAAGAGAAAGGAAATGCCACAAACTGTTCTGACTGCCGCCCCCCACCCCCCAGCAAAGCATTTCATTATTCCCCGTCCTGAGCATCCCCTCCTGACATGGCCTCAGGTACCACCCCTGTCACCCCTGAGAAGGATGCCCCGCCATGCTTTATATCACACCTGCCCCTTCTGGCCCTATCCGTGGTCGCCAGGCCTAGCCGGGCCCCATAGCACGGCTGCACCCTCTCCCTCCAGGTGAGTTTTGGGGGGAAAGTCTGGCTATCCTCACCTTAGAGTCTCATGAGTGTTGCACAGTGGTGTGTCCTCACTGAAAGCAGATGGGGTCCTTTCTCCCTACCCATCCCCACGCACAGGAAAAGGAAACTCAAACCGTTATGGAAATCAACACAGTAAAAAGTTATAAATCAGGAAGCTAACCCTATACTTATCTGAGAGATAATATTCCTGAATAATCGTAATCAGAGTAAAATAAAAAAAAGTTACACTATAGTATAAAAACCCAGGCAGGGTGCTCCAGGGAGCCTGACCCGGTGGCGCCACGCTGCACCCTGGCTGTCTCTCTGGCTGGGCAGCCATGGACGGCCGTGGCCTTGGTGGGGCAGACTCTCCATCCCACACAGGGACAAGTGTCAGTGTGAGGAAGGGCTGGGGCGGCAACCCATCAACGCAAGGGCCTCCTCCTTGATCCCCTGCCCACCCTGGTGTCTTTGGCAAATCTGCAGGTGCAAGAGTCCAGGCGCCCAAGCCCTGAGGTCTCTGCATGATGCCTCCTCTCTGGGTCTCTGCCCTCCAAGAGGTCCAAGGCCAAGGATGTGGGCAGGGGAGAGCAGGCTGGCAGGTGGGGCAGGGTGGCCATCGGAGGGCAGACAGGAGACACAGACTCAGGTCCTCTCCCCTCGCACGTACAATGTCCGGGTGGGGCCAGGCGCTGCCAAATGCTCAGGCGTCATACTTTTTACCCGTCCGGTGGATGTGTTGGAATAGAGTCATGGAGAAGGCCATTCCCAGGATCTGAAAGACAAAGAGAGGACTTTAAAGGGATGCTCTTGTGTCTGGGGTCAGACTTCAGTTCCACCAGCTTGGGACTGCTCTAAAGAACCTAATGTAAAAATGTGCACAACACAGTGGGCCAGGAAACAGAGAAAACACGGTGTAGGAGATCACCCTGGGAACCCAGCCTAGAACTGCACATAGGCGGATGTAGTTCAGTCCCTTGGAGCCGCACATCCAGAAGACCTGGATCCCCAGCACCTCACATGCTAACATCTCGGAGGCCTGGGGAGAAGGCAGAGGGGTAAGAGGGGCTGAGGTGGGAGAGGGAAGAAGGAAGCAAAAGGAGTCATTAACACTCTTGCCAGCACTTTCTGTTTGGGGCTGGATTTCTTTGGGTGAAAATGTCTTGAACAACATTAAATCTCATTTATGCTCCTCAACCAGAATCCTGAAAACTGGTGGAGACACAGATGTGCAGGCAGAAGCCACTGGTGGCTTCACCCAAGGTGCCACATGTCCCATGTACGAAGCCGGTGACCCAGGGACACTGCAGATCTTCGGCTCTCATGGAGAGCATGTCGGATGACCCTGGCTCCAATATCTAGTCCAGGGCCCCCACTTAGCCCTGAGTACCACCTTGCTCAGTGCCTGTGACCTCGCTCAGAGCTCTGCAGCATGGCAGGGGCTTCCTTGCAGGGCACCGCACACCTCACACACTAGGCTGTGTGAGCACCAGGTCACCCCTGCTCGGCTCTCATCTTGCTCCGGCTGGGGTCCCTCGTGTCCCCTCACCTGCATGATGAGGATGCACATCCCCACGGTGCCCAGAACGTGCTTGTTGTCATCGAACCACAGCTTCACCTTCTCATAGCAGCCCTGGGGAGGGAACCACGGGTTAAGGTCCTGGCGCAACGCTGAGTGCTGAGTTCCCAGTGGCCTAGCCCTGTCCTTTATAGGTCCATCTGTACTCTTAACTCCAGTACCTTACCACACCCACTCCAGTATCCACCTCCAACCCCCAGGCTCCACCTGCAAAACCCAGCTGCATAGCCTCAGCCCCTAATCCTTCACCTTCTGACTCCCAGCTGTGCGCGCGCACACACACACACACACACACACACACACACACACACACACAGCCACTGGCCTCACTCCAGTGTACCCCTCTCCCCAGCCCATAGTGAACTAATTCCCGTCATTCCTGCAGCCAGGCACATCCAGTACACAGGCTTCTGGGATCCCTGAGCCTGAGGCACTGCTCTCCAGACTCACCGTTCTCCACAAGGGGGTGGTGGTGTTGCGCCCACAACCCTGGGAGTTCTCCATGCAGCAGCGGTCAGGAACTATGTTCTCTCCCAGCACTGGATACCAGTCTGTGTAGTCAGTGACTCCACAACACCGCATCTGTGGGGAGGGAGGCCAGGCATGACACTGCTGTCCCCATCCACCCAGGCTTTCTTCTCTCAGGCCAGCCCCACCAAACAGCCACCCAAGAACAGGAATGAGAAAAAGAGTGTCTTCTTGTCCTCTTTTTGAGCTGCAGCAAGGCCCCTAGACCATCAAGGGTGGGGGTGGGGTAGGTGCAAGGCTGCTGTTCCTCCTGGCTGGGCACGATGTGGGACAGGAGACTTGCTCACCAGCACCTTAAGCTCTTTCTTCTGTGGCATGGACCCTCCCGAGCTGATTGCCAGTCTACCCACCCGCCATTCCCTCCCAGGGTCTAGGTGGGGTACTCATCCGGGAACAGAGTCTTGTACTCCTCTCAATATCAGAGCCCATCTCCTGAGCAAACATGGCCTTGCGACTTCTGTCATTCATCACGAAGTTAACCACTCACTACGGTTCCTTAGACCTATTCACTCCTGTGTCCAGGTCATATCACCTCCTGTACTCGCCTCCTCATCCCTCCCTAGGACTATTCCATGGTACTCTCCGACGCCCCAGTGGGCGGGTTCCCCCAACAGTCCGGGTACCCATGGCTTGCCCGGTCCCACTCCACACAGAGAGCCGAGCCGCACCTCGGCCTGAATGATATTCCAGGCGTTCTTGAGCCCCACGTTGTTCTCAGTGTTGTACAGCAGCAGTCCTTCCTTCAGGTCCTGCTTGGCATTCTCGTTTACCTGGCAGATCGGGGCAACACCACAGGTTGGCTGGGACCAGGAGACTGGCTCCCCCCACACCCACAGCCCATCCCAGGGCAGCTGGAAATGGTGGAGTAGTGTCTCTAGATGGGGAGGGAGTGTCTAGAGCGGCCCCCCGGGCCTCCTGAAGAGCACTCTGCAGGTTCCACTAGCCAGTGTCCTCCCCTCCTCCGCCTGCTCTATCCCCAGGGCTGTGTGACCCACATGACTCCTCCTCTGCAGGTTTACCTTGTCCATGTAGACAAAGAAGAGGATGAGCAGGATCAGCTCTGCCAGGAGGATGATCAGCAGCACGATGAAAAACTGGAAAGATAAGTCCAAACATGGACGGGTTCAGGATAGTGGCAATGGCCAGCGGTGGTGCTAACAGAGAAGAGAGGGGAGACAGGGGACAGGCAGGGTTCCCATGTCTGAGAGGGTTCACCTACTCCTAAGCAAACCCGGACAGATCACATGTCAAGAAGTGAGAGGGACAGCTAGGGCTAGGGACAAAACATTATAGAAGCAATTTCCACAGACTTAGGTCAGGGAGTCCCACCAAGGAAGCAATGAAGGGACATGGGGTCCAACTTACACTGAGGAGCAAACACTTGTTTTCCTTGATGGCCCCAAGACAGCCCAGGAAGCCTGTCACCATGACAATGGTGCCTATGGCGATGACAAGGTTGGCTGCAGACAGCGAGGGGAAGCTGGGGGAGAAGGTGGCAAAGTTGCCTTGGGAAACGGAGAGCCAGATGCCCACTCCAAGCAGTCCGCAGCCACAGAGCTGGAGAGAGAAGAAACCAGTTAGACCAGCATTGCTCTTGCATTCATCTCCCAGAACCCCCAAATCCCCACCCCCCATGAGATAAAGAAAGATTATAAAAAGGCAGGTGCTGTCACAGACCCAAAGCCCTTGCCACCCCACGCCTCGGTTTCCTCTTCGGCAAATGGGATGAGGCGACTTCATAAACCTCATGAGGTCTCTCTGGAGATCAAGTGAAATGGGATAAAGGGGAAAACAGAAAAATACACAACTGTGCAACTCAGGTTACTCCACTGGACAGAGAAGACCCCATGCTCAGAATGGAGGCTGGGGTAGGGGTGTGACCAGGGAAGGAAGGGCTGGTCTGTGGGAGTGGCACTGGCTCTCCGGTGGGTATTTCCCACTACTCTGAACAGAAGGGCCGCATACCCACTGATCTCGGAAGTCTGAAAAGCAAGTTCATGGGTAAAATAAAAAGGTACGCATGGCTGGGTAAGGGGCAGGACACAGGAGTCCATGCTGTCTTCCTGTGTTGGTCAGTCTGCACTGTCACCTTGGGGGGAGCCACTGTGGAAACACATTCTGGGTAAGGGGCAGGACACAGGAGTCCATGCTGTCTTCCTGTGTTGGTCAGTCTGCACTGTCATCTTGGGGGGGGGGGGGGGCACCGTGGAAACACACTCTGGGTAAGGGGCAGGACACAGGAGTCCATGCTGTCTTCCTGTGTTGGTCAGTCTGCACTGTCATCTTAGGGGGGGGGGGGGGGCACCGTGGAAACACACTCTGGGTGTGTCTCTGAGGGTGTTTCCAGAAAGCCTTAGCTGAAGTGAGAAGGCCCACCCTGAATGTGGACAGCACCATCCCCGAGGTTAATAAACAGAGAAAGGGGCAGGGCACCAGCGTCCTTCTCTCTCTGCTCCCTGACTTCAGGGCCCAATGTGATCAGCTGCCTCCAAGCTCCCACTGCCACGCCTTCTCTACTTCAGTGGGCTGTACCCTCAACCTGCGAGCCATGAGAAAACCCCGCAGCAGCTTTTGTTGGGTATTTTCTCAAAGCAAGAGGTCAACACACCTCACCAACCCCTGAACTAAGCCGACTGTGTGCATGAGGGCCTGTAAGCTGACCCTCTTTACCAGCACCCACGGAGCTGTGACCCATGGCCGCTCCCCATGGGGGAGTGTCCCTTCCATAGCTGCAAACCTCCACACCTGCACTGTTTGATGCTCCGTCTAACAGACACTCTTCGTTCCCGCTGAACTCCAGGAAAGTGTGCTGAGTCTGAGGGGTCAATCCCTCAGTCAGCCAATATTTACTGAGTGCCTACAGAACAGTGCCCCCTCCTAGAAAAGCTCCAGTCACATTAGAAACGGCCTTCCAGGGGCCTCCATTGTGAGCAATAAGAACGCAATCTCTACCGGTAGACAGTGGTGCCAAATAGCAGCTACAGGTGTTTAAAAGAGGCGATGACTGTCCTGGTCAGAGATACCAGTTGGAGGGAGCAGTCACCAAAGGCTGGGTGGGTGTGAAGCAAGCGGAAGACAAGAATTTCCCACACAAAGTGAGAGGGTAAATGGCAAGGCTTGAGAGGCTTGGGTGTGAACCTCCCACACAGCTCTGCCTGCCCCGCCTGGTGACTTTACAATCTTCAGGGGTGCAGATGGCTTCCCACCGACTAATGCGAAGGCTATGGTTGGTTGGCGACCTGACAACATCAAGAATTAACTAAAACTCAAGAGGCTGGGCACACCTGTGAGGGGTTTTTCTTGACGGAATTATTTGAAGTGGGAAGACTCACTCTCAATCCAAATCTTTTGAGGTAGGAAGATCAACCTTAAATCCAGGCCGTACCTTCTGGTGGCAGCCTGTTCAGCTATATAAAGGACATGGAAGAAAGGGGCACCTGCCTTTTGCCTACCCTCACTCTTGCTGACCAGTCCACTCCTTTACTGACATGAGAGCCTACTTCTTCAGGATTCCGGTGTGTACTAAACACACCCGGCCTCATGGACTGAACAACTACTGGATTCTTGGATTTTCCATGGGGTGAAAGCCATTGTTGGAAGAGCTGGACCATGGCCTATAAACCACTCCAGTAAATCTCGTCTGTGTGTGTGTGTGTGTGTGTTCTACAAGTTCTGCTTCTCTAGAGAACCCTGACTAACACAGCTAACAAATGCGCAGCAATTTTTTCTGAAAGGCTCTTCCTGAGCAGCACTGGATGCTGGGACTGTGCTGATGGCCTGGCTCTCTAAAGAGAGTACAGCTCCCGCTCTCCGGCTGCTCACTGTGGGGAAGGAACGCACACAGGCAATCAGACAATGCAATCCACGCTCAGGCCCTCAAGGTGAGGGGAAAGGGCATTGGCTTCTAAGGAGCTGCGTTTCCTTCACTTGTGCAGCCCACAGACTCTGGGCACATGGTTATCCAATGTCAGGCCAAGGAGAAAGTGGAGAAAGCCATGAACTGTCCCAGCCGATGACTGGATAGATAGAAAAGAGATTCTTGTGGGCGTGCACACACACACACGTGCGTGCGCGCACACACACACACACACACACACGCACACACACACACACACACACACACATGGGCAGTGCAAGCACAGATAAAAAGATGGAGTATACCATATAAATAAGGATAAAAGAGTGTTCAGAAAAAGGATAGATCAAACTAAAAGGCCTCAAGTTAGGACCAAGCTTGTCTGCCAAGGAGGGTATGTAGCTGCCACAAAATGACTATAGTGACATGTAGCATAAGATAAAAGAGCCAGTGCCGCCAGGGGACAGACGGAACAGGACCTGGAGGGCAGGAAAATGCGGATGTTCTGCCCCAGGGCTGAGCATGACGTGATCTGGCAGATGTTTTTGACAGTCATCATAGACACTGTTCCCAGAAGAGGCCGCTAGGGCAAGAGACAGCCAGCACATGCAGGGACCACTGCAAAGGCTTGGGGAGAGCTGGTGGCCACACATCGGGCGACCACGCAGGAGCAATGAGACATGGTCCAATGGGAGACAGGCAGTGTTGAAAATGAGCTGGGCTTGAGGACTGAAGAGAATTCTAATAAACGGGAAAACAGAAAGGTGGCCCCTAATGATGTACACGCACATACACGTGTACACACACACACACACACACACACACACACACACACACACACACAATTACTAAGCCACAGATTATTCAAGGATATGTAGGGGACCAGAGTTAGGTCACATAATGGCTTTTGCATGAGAATGACATCAAGTGAGACATAGGTCAAATATCCTAGGATTCTGGCCTTGACAGGTCAAAGCCTTATAGAAAGGGTGTGTGCCAATGCCCTCTGTGACCACTAGGTGGTGCTCCTGTCTGTTACAGAAGCTTGTTGGGTTGGCCCGCGATGCCCTAAACTTGCATCCAGCCTGTCACCCTGACTTTTTTCAATCTGGTCAGTTTTCTGTGCTGCCGTCTCAATTTTTCTTTCATTAATCATACCCTGGAAAATTCATGATTTTGAACCAAAGATTTATGGCTCTAGAAATAGGACCCTGGAATGAGTAACAGAAAGCCCTCCAGGGCAGGTATTCGTTTCAGATGGAGGAGCCTGGCCTAGGGGCTCCTGGAGCTGCAAGACGCCCCCATTACCCTGCTGCTGCAGGCCTCCCTGGTCCCTGTGCCCCAGCTCTGGAGTCCTCACGGCAGAGGTCTCTCCATCCTACTCAGCGGGAACAAGCCTGGTATGGTCACTTCCATTCTTGGAGAGCTCCTATGGTGTCCAGGAGAATTTCCCTGGGAACCCTCAGCAGTTCAGTCTCTGGGGGCCATGTTTCTCCCAACTGTTTCTCTGACTTCACACCCCATGTCCTTCAATATGGTCTTTAAGCTTCACAGACGTCAGTGCAGGGGCCTCCTTCTACCTGGAGGGTAAGAGCTGAACCCCACACTCACGTTTTGTCGCACTTCCCACCTGAGACCCCACAGGGCTGAGATCTAGGCAGTCTCAGCACATCAGAGCCTGAGCCTGACTCCTGGCCAGTCTCCTCCCAAAGTCCCCATACCCATCTCCCACCGCCCATCAGGCCCCACCCCTAGTTCTCAGGCAACCTGCCGCGCCACAGGGCACGCACAGCGTGACCCACGACCTCCAGGTCTCCTGCTGACATGAACATTCCACTGGTGGTGATGGTGACCCACTCGCACCTGAGGCTCTAGGCAATAAGAAAACAAAGGGTGGGGGCCTCATCTTACAGCTAATGCCACTGAGGGAGACAGAAAGACACTGCCAAGATAGGCCCCACCCTCTGATTCAGGTGTTGCTCCTTGTTTCTGCTACTCCTTAGGAGACCTGACTGCCAAGTTAATGGGCACTAGACATCCTGCCTCAGCCCCCACCCATACAAGACCCCTCTGTCCTGGCCCTGCTTTTCAATCCGCCCTATAGAAAGCTGCCTGGATCCTTTTCCAAAATGCCTCTATCCTTACATGGGCCTATGCGCCCTTAAGATTTGTCAGTTAACTCCTTGAGAACACTGCCACTACAGAGAGCTCCCATTCTCCCCACTGACCCAGAAAAGGATGGGGAAATGGCACATACTCTCTGGGAGGCTTCAAGTTGGGGCAAAAGCAAGCCAGAGCTCAGATCTAGCAGAAGGCTGTGGGCAAGAGAGAGGAAGAACTGCAGACACAGAAACAAGGCCACCCTGGGCAGGTAGGAGGACAGGAAAACAGGAAACCAGCTCTCAAGTCAGAGTTGGGTCATGGCCAGGGTGAAGCAGCAGAAGGGTATGGAACCATTCCCTTCCCCATGGTGGGAACCGTTCAGGAAGCATAAGGCCACGGTGGCCTAGCCAAAGCTGGGTGCCAGAGAGCTTAGTAAGTGGCATTCGAGAAAATTCCCTTCTAAATCCAGAGGGTTGTTTCAGCTGAGATGACCGAGCTGCCATAGAGCCCAAGGCTGAAGAATCTGGGGCGAGGCAGAGTGACTCAGGGGTCATCAGTCCCCTTGTGTAGTCCAGGCCTGGCTGGAACCTATTTCCAA